CTATCAAGGGCTGCCCAGCCCAATGAGATGAAGTGGTTGGACATACTAGTGTAGCCCATGATGGCACCTGGCAGGCTGGGCTATCGTCTCTCAGGCAGCCATCCCTATGAGAGATGAAGCTGGTGGCTATGGTGGTGCAGCTCTTGCTGGCACCTCCAGGGTTGCCAAGCCTGATGAGATGAAGCATCTCTCAGGGGCTGCCCATCCCTATGAGAGATTAAGCCAGAACCCACTGGTGCAGCCCGGTTGCCCCCTTGTCCTGCTGCCCGTACTTGGTGACAAGCTCATATCCGGACATGATGTTGCCCATCTGGTCGGCTCCCCCGAGCTGGATGCGACAGCCGTGGTGTCGGTGCAGGTGCAGGAAGTCGTAGGCCTGCAGGGCCGGGTAGAGGAACTCAGCCAGGCTCATGCCCTCGGCGCTGCGGAGCCGAGCCTGGCAGCTCTGCCTGCTGAGCAGGGTGCCCATGCGCAGGCGCCCCCCGACCCCGCACAGGAAACCCACCACCGGCTCGCGCCCCAGCCACCACGTGTTGTCCTGCAGCATCACCTCGCCCAACCGCGCGCCACCCGCCGCGGGCCAGAACACCAGGCGGTGGTTGTCGAAGAGCCTCCGCAGCCCCTCGCGCAGGCCCAGCGCGTGCTCCCGCGCGAGCTCCTCCGACAGCGGCTCGCGCTCCTTGGTGCGGCCGCTCGGGTCGCCCAGGCGAGCGGTGGCCCCGCCTACCAGGGCGATGACGTTGTGCCCCGCGCGCTGAAAGTGCAGCAGGCCCATGACGGTTAGCAGGTGGCCGACGTGCAGCGAGTCGGCCGTGGCGTCGAAGCCGCAGTAAACTGTCTGCGGGGGCTGGCCCGGCTCCAGCAGGGCGGGCAGCCCTTCCTCCGCGCCCTGCGCCGGGAACACCTCCTGGAACAGGCCCCGCTCGCACTGCGCCGCCAGCAGCCCCTTGGCGCCCGGAGCTCGCTGCGGCAGGTGATGGATCCGCCGGGAGAGGCCCCCGCAAAGACCCGCCACACGGCGGCACCCGACTCGCATCACCATGGGCGCCGCCATCTTGGCTGGGAAGGGCGGCGCGAGGGACGCTGGGATAAGAGGCTGAGTAGAGGTGGGCTCCTCCCGGATTGTCGCGGGAACGGGCACAGCCGAGGGGCCGGGCTCCCTAGGCCCCGCCCCTTCTGCCCTGTGGGGAGCCTGGCCTCTGCGTAAGAGAAGCGTACAGCAGCCTCCTCCTCCCCGTATTCAGCGGCCCGCGGTTCCTCGCCCCGCCCCCCACTGAAACCAGGGTTCTGCGCGGGGAAAGTGGCGCGCGCACGCTGCCCTCGAGCAAGAAAAAAATTCCGTTGTCAAAGAATGAGTCCGTGCGCCAGCTAGGGTCTGCAAAGCCTCCTGACGGGATCCACTCAACCCCAGTGGCCATCAGGCCCGCACAAAGGGCTCCGCTTTTCAGGACTAGCTCCCTGGGCAATGTCATTCCTCAGGCCCCAGTTGTTGTTAGTTACATACGTTAAAATTACTGTCGTTTTAAACACTTACCTTCCCCCCCCCCCATGTGCTTCTTGTTCTTAACATTTGGGTTCAATGACACCACAATCTGCTTTGGCTGCCGTTATTGGGGAACAAGTTCTGGCTGAACCTTCCCAAGATGAGACTCTCTACTCGGGATAGAAGAAGAGAAACTAGAGGTTTTTTTTCACTGGACCATATGTAACCAAAATGGCATGGTTCTGGTTCAGCAAAGCACTTAAGCATGTGCTTAGTTTAACGTTTGTGAGTGACTTCATTGAAGTGATTAAAATTAAGTACTTAGTTAAATTGATGCCTAGAAAAGGGCAGAGGGGTTGCAGACTCTGTCTCTATAGGTACCTTGGGTGGCAGGTGAAATTCTTTACCAACATAAAACGATACATTTGAGGTACTGGGGCATGATGACCTGTTGTTAAAGAGTTATATTTGTGACTATCAGTAGAAAAGGAAATATGGAAAGACTCTGTGTACTAATATAAAATATAACAGTGCTAAAAATGTTGCAATTTTATGTACCAAATGATTTTTGTTATACAGCAAAATAATAAAGCAAAAGCAATTAGATGTAATTTGTGGCCTTGGGATGCCTCGTGAATCCTTTCCAATATGTCATAGTAAAAGACTGTGGAACTGCAATACAATTTCCATAGGAAATCAAACCTTCAGCTTTAGGGAGTTCATTTTTTGTCTCCTCTATTCCTGAATTAATTTTAAATGTAATAGGATTTCACTAACAGTCCAAACCTATTTGGCGTGCCATCTTTGGATACACAATCCCATGAAATAGGCTTCAGTTATCCCTGCTTCGGTTATCTTCCCGATTCCTTTGCTTTTTTTTAGACATGCTCCAAATACCCCTTTCTTTACATTCCCTGCACATTTCCACTGGTTCCACTCCATTTCATCTGTCATGTGTTCTCTCTTTCTACACCTACCACATTTCTGCCCAGGAACTCAGGTATTTTAGTAATGGTTCTTCCCTTTTTTCCATGGGAATTATTTCTTTGCTTCTTGCACCATGCTGTCACCCGCCACTTTCTTGCTAGGTGACTCGCACTTATTCCACTCAGGTATCTGTGATTTTTACACCACTTGTCAGCTCAGACATTAACGATAACATATTGTAGTGAAAATTCCTTTTTAAAATTCAAACTTTTAATTGGTCTCTTAGATATTCTTTCTTATGGATACCACAGTCACAATGCTCTATTTGTATATATAAGGTCCTTAAAACAGGCTTCCATGCCTTCTCTGAGCCTTGGCACCTCTTTGGTAAAAGCAATTCCATTCATATATTACATATGTGGAATGGAATGCTTATCAGACTTTTAAAGAATGTAATTATTCTTAATCTCTTTTCTGAGTGAAGGCAAATGATTTATAATTTTTTTTGTCTGCACTACCAGTTACATGAATTAATGAACTGAACTGCACTTTGCTATGCTCTATGTTAAGCTTTATGGCAGGTCTGAATCAGGTAACATACTCCATCCCCTCAAGTCATTCTGTGGGCTTATCAAACTGAACATTTTATTGAAGGCTGAACTTTGGTATTGACTTTTCTTTTTCCTTATGCTGGTTAGGGCTTGTTAACATTTTACAAAAGTTTGAAATTTCAATAAACATTTTTTCACAAACAAATTTGAATTGGTTTTTCAAAATATTTCCCCAGTTTTTTGCCTAGTTCTATTGCTGGTTCAAAATAAGGCAACTTATGATAACACGTTTTCACAATGAAAAAGAATAACACAATGAGTCACTGTGTTCTAACACTGAACAAGGAAGTTAATTAGAATAGGAAAAACAGTATTATTCCTAAAGCTACCTTGTCTCTGCTTCAGTGTAGAACTTCTTTTTTCACTCTTCCTCTTGGCAACTTCCTGCTACAGTTTTAAAGAACTAATGTACCTATCCTTATGATGAAGATAGTGCAGACCTTTTAGGAATAATACCACACACTTGCTCCTGGTGCAAGTTGGTGTTTTCCTTAGGCAATGCTCTTCAGATATAATTTTAATGGATAATACATTTTTTGTCAGAGAGGATTTCTCAGTAGTCAGATGGGGACTGAAGTTCAGAGGCAGTCAAGAAAAACATCCCAATTATCTCTTCAATTTGATGGTGGGATTTTAACAGGGGGCCCCTGCCAGCCTTAAAAGCCCTCTCCAGCAGGGGCGGCAGGTTTGTATAATTTTTGGTGGTGCCCAGAATGGGTCCAAGTACCGCCCTGCCCCCCACCTGCCTAAGGCTCTGGGAGGGAGTTTGGGTGCTGGGTGTGGGCTCTGGGAGGGGGTTTGGGTGCTGGGTGCAGGCTCTGGGGTGGGGCAGGGGGTTGGGGTGCAGGAGGGATGTGGGCTCTGAGGGAGTTTGAGTGCAGGAGGGGGTTTGGGGTGCAGGCTTTGGGAGAGAGTTTGGGTGCGGGCTCTGGAAAGGAGTGGGTGCTGGGTGTGGGCTGTGCGCTGGGACAGAGGGTTGGAGTACAGGAGAGGGTGCGGGAGGGGGGTTGGGGTTCTGGGTGCAGGAGGGGGTTTGGGTGCAGGCTCTGGGCTGGCAAGGAGGGTTGGGTTGCGGGAGGGTGTGCAGGGCATGGGGGTAGACCCAGGATGAGGAGTTTGGGGTGTAGCAGGCAGGCTGCCCTGGGGCTGGGGGCCAGTGAGGAGGACTCCTCCCAGCCCTCTCCCCACCAGCAGCAGCTAGCTCCAGGGCAGGGGGGCCCCCTCTGGCCCCCTGGCACGACACTCACCAGGCCCCCCCAGGCTGCTGCTCAGGAGGTCCAGCCAGGAGTCGCCTGCTGGGGGGTAGAGGGGGTGGAGGCTGCCATGCGCCTCCTCCACACCTTCCTCTGCAGGCACAGCAGCCGCCGCCTCAGCCTGCCCCCTGCGCCGCTTCCTTGTAGCCGGCTGTGGCAGCGGCCGGCATGGCAGCGCAGCAAGGAGCTTCAGGGGGCAGCCGCCCACTGCCCAGGGCAGGCAGGGATGCCCAGGGGAGGCGGGCGGGGACGGCAGGCAGGGCCGGGGGAGAGACCTGGCCCCGAACATTGGTGGAGCCGGGTCCCCCGGGCCCTGAATTTGCTGGAGCCTGGGCACCACGGGCCCGTACAATTCGCTGCTCCTGCTTTCCAATACATCACTCCATAATCAGAAGCCAGGAGCTATTCACTTGCAAATTAACATTAAAAAGGGGGGACATATTTTTTTTGCTAGAGATGGGCAAAGTACAAAATAAAGCGCCCTCTGGTTCATCATTTCAAAGGGCATTTTTGGAGCTGATCTTCATACCCTGCACTAGTCTGGTCAATTTCCATTATTTCAGAGAATTAATCTTGTTTAATAAACACTGTGTATTTTAAATAGTACACACAGCAATATGAAACAGGATTGAGCTATTACAACATCAACAGGAAATAGCTTGTGATCACGACAGACAAATGAACTGAAAGTAGCTTTTTAGTTTCACTTCTGCTCTTTAAAAGCCTTTTAAATCTCTGTGAAGCAAATGGTCTTGGTAACAGAGAAACAGGTAAGAAAAGCATACATTTACTCTGTGATATTAAATGGCTTTTTATTTAGGTGTTTAGAATACACAAAGTACAGTTTCTTTCAGTCACCAATAGTAAACAATTCCTTAAAAGAAAAGTAGAAATTGGACTTAATAACACAGAAGAAAATGGAGAGGACACACCAAAATGATGGTGCAATATTTACTGAATGTGACTCTAGTACTCTGTGAGAAGTTGAAATATTAATGTTATTGTTCTCCTGCAAATAACTAGATAGTATGTTTGAATTAATCTAATTACAAAGAAGGGCTCAATTCTCTTTTTTTTATGAAGGTTTACTTTGCTGGCAAACAGTATGAGGCTGTGATATTACATATCAAAATTTCCTGTTCATGTACCTTTCATTCATATGGAGGAAAAGGGTTTATTATACGGTTTTAAAATACATTTGTAAGCACAATGAAATTATATTTTTTCATATATATATGATTTTGATTCTGGATGTAATGATATAACCTTTCTTTACCACAGTGATATCAGATGAAAGAAAGAGGAAGGAAAGAAGAAATTCTTAAATATTTTCCAAAGGAAGAGACTCTTTACAATCAGACATGGAACGGGGTTTGTATTTCTTTTGTCTTACATTTTGAGGTGACTAATAGAAGAAACTGGTACCCAGTTAAAAATATTTACACGTTTGACAATTGGGCTCTTTCTGGTAGATCTGATGTGCAGATCCCAGCTGCTTATGGACATGCAGGAAATTTGTGGCAGCCCAGGTCTATTATTATTTATTTATTGCTTGTTTGTATTGTGGTAGCACCTAGGGGCTCCAATCATAGATCAGGATCACAACTTCTTCTTTCTGCCCACTTGTGGATGGTGGCTATAGAGAAAATAATAGTAGGGATGTACAGCATCATGGGAAGGGACCCACAGGTCACAGGCCTACATGGTTCTTAGAAGAAGACTGGTGCCTTACTATTTATAAAGCAATGTATACAATATGGGGTCTTACAATAGGTAAAATATGGTAAACAAAAGATAGTCCACCAGGCCTGAGAACTATGCAGTTAACGAACAAAGTGGTAGGTACCATTGATAAGTTTGATGAAAGATGTGGAATATTTGTAAGAATCAATTTCCAGTGTAATTTAAAGGAAAAAGTGGGTGGAATAGAAAATAATTTTCAACCACTTGCTCCAGTGTGAACAACATTAAATCACTAATAATTATTTTTCTAAAATTCTTTATTATATCTGGTGTGTGTACCTCAGTACTCAGAATTGCACTTACTTAAGGCCCAATCCAACATCTGTTGAAGTCATCTGAAAGACTTCAACAGTGTTGTGGCTGGGCCTCAACAGAGGCAAGGCTGCACATCTTGGACCTGATTCCAAGACCTACTCCATTACTACTGGTCTTATCCAGTGTAACTACATTCTGGTCTATAAAGTTAAATGGGTAAAACTGATGCAGTGGAGTGAGTATCAATCTTGTGCAGAACAGAGCATTCTATGTCTAGCAAATTGTCCCACATGATGGATTATTGATGTTTTGGTAAATATAAGAAATTCCATAGAAAAATTGTTACAAATAATATAAAGGTTGTAATGTGAAGTGCTCAGAATTCAGCAAATACCAAAGCTGAGGTTGTCACGACCGTAACTCTTTCCTTTTTCATACAAAGATGTATGATACAGTCTTAACATATGCAATGATATCCTGGGGCAGATCCTTGAAGGCAGTGGAGTTATGCCAATTAACATCAGTTGAGGATCTGGCCCGTTATTTTTTCTGTAAGACCCCGTCTCATCCAATGTGTAGGCTGGTTGGTGAGTAGTGAAGAAAGCTGGGGGCTTTGTTTTTGCTGTGTGTTTGTTTTTTGCATACATCTGTGTAAAACCAAAAAAACTCCAAAACAAAACAAAAAAGCTGGAAGGGTCAGCAAGTCCTGCTCCCTGTGCTGACGCAGGACCAAATAAACCTAGACCATCCGTGAAAGGAGTTTGTCCAACTTGTTCTTAAAAACCTCCAATGGTGGATTACACAACCTTCCTTAGAAATTGTCAGGCTACCCGGAGTGGCTCATCAACATGGGTGCCAACCTCAGGGCAGACTGTCAAGAAGCAGGGCTACAATCCTCAAATTGGTTGTATGTTCTATACTTAGATTTTACAAACCAAGTAACAAGTGTGAACTCCACAAGCACTATAATAACACTAACATGGTTAGATTAGATCAGTGGTTCTCAACCAAGGATACGTGTACCCCTGGGATACGCAGAGGTATTCCAGAGGGCACATCAACTCGTCTAGATATTTGCCTAGTTTTACAATAGGCTACATAAAAAGGGCTAGCGAAGTCAGCACAAAGTAAAATTTCATACAGACAATGATTTGTTTATACTGCTCTATATACTATACATTGAAATGTAAGTACAATATTTATATTCCAATTAATTTTATAATTATATGGTAAAAATAAGAAAGTAAGCAATTTTTCAGTAATAGTGAGCTGTGACACCTTTGTATTTTTATGTTTGATTTTGTAAGGCAAGTAGTTTTTAAGTGAGGTGAAACTTGGGGTACGCAAGACAAATCAAAATCCTGAAAGGGGTCCAGTAGTTTGGAAAAGTTGAGAGCCACTGGACTAGATGACCCTTGTGGTCCCTTATAACTCTATGATTCTATGATAACATGGAGTCACAGACAGTCCCCTTGGGCACTCTGGTCTATCTCTCCACCCAGGCAAGCCTGCCTTTGTGATAGATGGTCCCATACACCAGAAAGCACAACAAAATTCAGGTTACTCTCAGTTCCAAAGGACCAGTCACTTACCCCAGGTCAGTTACACCTAGATTTCTCACCAAAGGCAAGGCTTGTAGCTAATCCTGTAATAAACTAACTAAAGATTTATTAACTACAAAAAGAAATAAGAGAGTTATCTACAACAGCGGTTCTCAAACTTTAGCAACCTGAGGACCCCCATTTTGATTTAAAAATTTTTGGGGACCCCCAAGCCCTCACCCCGCTCAGCCCTTGCCCTGCCCCCTTCTCTGAGGCCCCGCCCCATGCTCACTCCATACCCCCTCCCTCCATCGCTGGCTCTCCCCCACTCTCATTCACTTTCATCAGGCTGAGGCAGGCTGGAGGTTGGGGTGCAGGAGGAGGTGAGGGCTCTGGGAGGGAGCTTGGGTGCAGTGGGTGTACAAGGTGCGGGCTCTGGGAGGGAGTTTGGGTATGGGAGGGTGTTAGCATGCCTTCGTGGATCACAACTGAGAATACCAAATTCAGGACAAACTGTTGAGAAATAGGGCAGATACATCCCAAAATTGGTGGTTATTCTCCCATAAGCTATACCAAACCAGCAACACAAGTAAACTTCTGTTTCACCACACTGGCTAACGAGAAGTCAGAAAAGCAGTTTCCTTAGGCATTCCAGTCCTGGATTCAATACCCAGACACTAGACTTAAAGATGAGTGGTTCTTTAAAACCAGTTTCATCAAACGAAGTGTTCTTCTGATCCCAAAGGACCAGTCACGCACCCAGGTCAATATATCACTCAGATATTACCCAATAATCATATTGTTGCCAATCCTTTAGTATCTAAAATCTAAAGGTTTATTTATAAAAAGAAAGAAAGGTGAGAGTTAAAATTGGTTAAAGGAATCAAATACATACAGCAATTGCAAAGTCCCTTGATTCAGGCTTGTAGCAGTGATGGAATAAACTGTGGGCTGTTAAGTCTCTGGTTGCTTCAAATCATTGGAAGGGCCTCAGTCTCTTGGTTAGAATGCTCCCATTAATATAAGTTCATAGTCCAGAGGTTTGAGCAGGAAAGAGGCAAAAATGAGAAGTTTCCAGCACCTTTTATAGCTTCTGCCATGTGGAGGGAAATCCATTGTTTCAAACAAAGCCCTCAGGACAGCTAGTGGAAAATTACAGGTAAAAGATGGAATTTGGAGTCACGTGTGCAAGTCACATGTCCATGCATGATTTCACTTAGTCATAGCAGGAAATTCTATTAAGAGTAAATAGACGTCTTCCATTGTGAGCTAAGTGTTCCTTTAATGGGCCACTTAACTTGAATAATCCCTTCAAGATGTGCAGGGTAAATACCTTGTGGGCGTTGCCACAGGAGCAAACATATTTGAAATCCAGGTAGAGAGCCAATACTCATAACTTTAAATACAAAAATGATACATGCATACAAATAGCATAATCATATTCAGCAAATCATAACCTTTTCATAGACACCTTGCTTGACAACCTTTGTACAATATTTGTTGCAATTATATAACAGTGGTAGCAACAATGATCTACATGGTCATATTTTAATCTGATAACATCATAGAGGGAATGTGGGAGGGAGGGAGTGAGGGGTGCAGGAGGGAGTGAGGGGTGCAGGCTCTGGGAGGGAGTTTGGGTGTGGGCTCTGGGCTCTGAGAGTGAGTTTGGTTGCAGGAGGGGGTGTGGGTTCTGGGAGGGAGTTTGGGTGTGGGAGGGAGTGCAGGGTGTGGGTTCTGGGAGGGAGTGCAGGGTGTGGGAGGGGGTGCAGAGTGTGGGGTCTGGGAGGGAGTTTGGGTATGGGAATGGGTGCAGGGTGCAGATTCCGGATAGGCAGCGCTTACCTCGAGCGGCCCCGAAAGCGACCTGCACATCCGTCTGGCAGCGGTTCCTAAGCGGGGGGCCAGGGGGTCTCCGCATGCTGACCCTGCCCGCAGGCTCTGCCCCCACAGTTTCCATTGGCCGTAGTTCCCGGCCAATGGGAGCTGTGGAGTCGGTGCTTGGGGTGGGGGCAGTGCACGGAGACCCCCTCCTCCTCCTCCACCCCAGGGACATGCTGGCTGCTTCCGGGAGCAGTGCAGGGCCAGGACAGGTAGGAAGCCTGCCTTAGCCCCGCTGCGCCACCGGACTTTTAGCATGCAGGAGGCACTGGGAGGGAGGAGGAGGAGTTGAGGGAGGAAGAGGAAGGAGTTGATCATCAGGGCCTGCGGACCGCCTGTACCCTCGGGGACCTCCCAGGGGTCCGTGGACCCCAGTTTGAGAAACGCTGGTCTACAAGGTTAAAGCAGGTAAATATACATACACAAATGAGTTACTGTCTTAGGTTTCAAAAGATAATAGTAGCTACTGTAATGCACAAGCTCAATATGTCCTTTAGGACTAACCCAAGCTAAGCAGCTGGGGGAATCCCTTGTTTATTAGAATTATTGCCCTCTCCAAATTGCAAGCAGCATAGTCATAACAATTTTTCCTTAACAGGGATTTTTATTCCCTTCCCCCAGCATTCAAGCTGTGATGGGAGGAGGGTTTGTGCATGTATCCACTTCATGGGTGTGGGGGAAGCAATCAACAAAGTCATTCATCCACTGGTGTTCCACAGTGGTTTGTCTGGTGTCGATAGGCCTTGTTTTGTTGGGGAGGAAATGATACCTCTTATGGTAAACTAGTATTTCACACTTGGTAATTCTTCTCTCCTGTCTGGGGCGGGGAAGGGGGGTTCAGTTTCATAGCAAACACTTTCGTAGTACAAAGCAAACATTTTGATATTACCTTATAACAAGGGATACACATACTACAAGTGAGATTAATGCACGCAGCAACTCACAAGCATTCCACTAAACACATTCTTATAAACTTAACATCTGTTGTAACAATGCTAACACACAGGTGAGCCAGAATGGTTTCCAGCTATGCATTTGTCAGTGTTCAGTGATGTCTAGGGGCCTTGGCAAGAGCTGGCACCTGGTCTGCCAGCATCACAGAAGCCTGTTCCAGAGCTTAACTGTCCTTATAGTTAGAAGGTGCCCAAGGGTTAAATCTTAACCCCATTTACTTCAGTGGTGCCAAGTTTTCACCCAAAGTGGTTTTTTTACATGATAGATGCTCAGTAAATTACCTGCATTACAACAGTTGACTGTTTTTAACAACATGGATTGAGGCTCTTTTTGAATATGTCTATTGAATATGTCCTTTTCTTTCTTTGAAACTATGTAGGTTACAAGATTGCCACACGTTTAGGAAATAAAAAAGACTTGTGCATGTTTCTAGCCCTTCATATGGAGAATTCTCCAATGTGTGTTAGCCCATCTGAAAAGGTATGTAATGAGATGTCACTGTGAAGAGATGTTTCTTTCCAATAAAAGGGGATGAACCCTTAAAATCACTGATAATATCAATTAATAGGTACCAACAGTAATCAATACTGTTTAGTTTTCAGTCAGTAAGCAGATGAATAGTTACATAAAGAGCTCAGTTCCCTGATTAGATAACAGCTGAGATGTGATCATTCACAGCCACTATATCATATCAATATACCATAATTCTTAACGTACCTGATGGTAGGTAGTATGACGGTGGGAGATTTCTGGAAAAAGGCTAGTGTATACAAGTCTTCTGTTTTAGTTTTCCTATCTGTTAATTGGGGATAGTAATGCTTACTTGCCTACTTCCCAGGGGGGCTTTGGAGATTAATTCATACTGTATAGAGATTTTAAAATGTAAAACATTTTATGTGTTAAATATTATTGTTGTTATTGATCACTTTCCATCCTTCCTGTGCATAATGGGCCAGATTAACTAGTATGCTACTGTTCTTTAAGATAATTGAATAACATGTGAAACCCCCTAGGGTAGATTATTCCAGTTACTGCCTCCACAGAGAAGACTAGAATTTTACCTTTAAGAGTGAATTTGTTTGAGCTTAATTTAAACGCTAACTTCATAAGAAAGCTTTGTCAGATAATATTATCTATTATTTGAATCCAAAGCCACCCAGAAGGATTAGGACATGGACATAGTTTCTCATCCAAAAAACTTGCAATCTAATCAGTAGCACTGATGTCTCTCTGCCTTACTGTATCCATCACAGCTAATGTAATGCTGACAAAAGATCCTGACAGAAATGATTTAGACCCCTCACAAAGTCATGCTTCCTTTTTCTTGCTCATAAATTTCACTTGAGGGTGTTTTAGAAAACTATGGGTTGATCTTGCTTGCTTGAAGTCACTTGGAGTTTCACCAGTGACTTCAAAGGGAGACTGATTGGGTCCATTCAGAAACATCATACGCATATAAAGATAGTGAATTAATAAGAATAATGAACAAGTAAATAAATATTCATAGGACTGATAAAGCAGAAAGACAAATTAAGAGCCAAAGGTTATTAGGACGAAGAATCAATGTACTTAAAATCAATGTAGCCAAATCTGTAATACATTGAAGCTGCTTTTTAAAACATAGGTGTTCGTAAAATAAAATGTGCAGACAAATAGTAAGTCACATTGTTTTCTTTCAGTTCAATAAAACTGGGATTGTTGTGTGTGAGTCAGACAAAATACACAAAGTGGTAGCAATGAGCTGCTCCAGAGAAAACTTACATGCTGTGCAACATGTCATGCTGAACGTTCCCTGTTCTTTGAGTAACTGCACTGTGTATTTGTCCAGGAAACCCTGCTCCACCTGTACTACATTTCTCATTCAAGGTAAATAATAAACTGACCAATCCATTGAAGTCAGTGGGAGCTTTTTATGAGTAAGGAGGTCAGAAATAAGCCAATACTGAATATCCGGTTTGAAAAAATCATGTTATCATATGGAGCTCAGTCCTGCAAATCCTGACTCTCACTAGTAGTCCTTTATTCATGTAAGTAGTCCCTTTGAAATCAGTGAAACTACTTGCCTGGGAAGGATTTGCGGGCTAGGGTCATAAACTGTAGTTCTCATGTCATGTAATGTAATGTGAGCTTGTGTCAGGATCCACTTACGAAGCAGGTCCAAAAATATATAACTCTCAGTTTTCGGCTCCCCTGTTCTCAAGGACCACATGCTGCAGCTCAAGTTGGTGGTGCAAAGCTTGCTTTTATGCCCTCTGACTGCTGGGCTGGCTGGGCACCAGGCCAGCCCCTAGCAAAAGTTAGAGCAGCTGGGTGTAGGGCTAACCTAGCCCTGGCTCCTTTTCTGAACCATGCTCTCTTTACTGGCCTCAGGCATGAGGGGTGTGATAGTAGCTGTTACAGTGATTCTACAGCATCCAGGGAGCCCTCTGTACTGGGGTGGGGATATTTTCTGTGGACAATTACATTTTTGACACTAGAATGCACCAACGGTGTTGCACACACTGGCTGCACTGCAACAGAGAATTAGGCCAACCATTGTTATCAAGAAATGTAGGCATTAATGATCCTGTCTGGTTGAATTGTATTGTAAATCAGTCTAAATTTTCATCTTTAGGATCAGTTTCTTCAGTCTATTACTGGCCAATGTCTCCAGAACTAAAAGGGGAAGATTCAGCAGTTGAGGAAGATCTCAAGCAAGTTGACCAAATGTTTCTCAGAAGTAATATAAGTAGCAGTGTTTTTCTACCAATCACAGACTCTGACACTGTATTTAAGATTTCATCTAGAATCAAAATATACAAGTGCACAGAATGCAGTTCCCATTATGCTGAGGCTGTCCCTAAAGACATGGAAAAAAATAGTTCATTGCTTAATATGCAAGGCCATATAAGGATATGTGCAGAGCAGATGAAGAATTCATTGTGTTGCCTTGATTGTTTACTGCATTGTCCCCATGGAAAATTTGAAAAAAAAGAAAAGATTGATGTGGAAAAAATGCATACACATGCATTGCAGCTTTGTTATCTTTTAGCAGCAAGATCTGGTAAGTATACTGAAAATAGAAAAAATAGCAAACAAATATGAAAACCAGGTATATTTTCCTAATAAATTTAGCTAGAGCTAAGCCAAATATTTCATAACTCATGTTGATAACAAAGGAATTGGTATGCTTTCCTCACTCAGGATCTAAATAAATATTTTTTTCATTTAAATAAGTAGATATGTTTATTGAAATCATATCCAGTACTACATTTGAGTCAAAATAGATTTAAACTCAAATCAGTGCAAGTGAAATTGCAACAAGTTATTTTGAATCACACTATCATATTTCAAACCCAAAAAGCTTTGTTTAAAAACAATGAAGTTTACTAAGTGACAACCATGTCCTTATCTAATATCATTTATAAAACCTAAGCAATTAAAAGCAAGGAAATGATAAGTAAATCTTACAATGTCCACCTAATAAACATAAACAAAAGTTTTGTATCAAGAACAAAGAAGTGCATATTTCATCACATAATTCTGACTCCCTGGATTGGTGTATGTGTGAATGTTTATATTTAGATATATTTTATTTTCATGATTTTGGCCTCTGAATATTTTCTTGTGATAATGTCAAATGAAAACGATCAGTTAATATATTTATCAACTGACACATTTTTTAGTAAAGTACTTATAATTGCTCGTTCTTCTTTTGCATTTGTAGTTTACCAGGAAAAGTGTATAAAATTGTCTGTTTATGGTAAAACTATGTATGTAAGTGGCCTTGCATTTGGAGTTCATCACCATACCCAATTAATGTGTACATAAAACGTTTTATGTTCCATTTTCAGGGTTTTGTATTGTGTTTATATTTTGAGATTACTAATCAAGGAAAAACTTTACATTGGATTGTTGTGTTGTGATGAAATATGCTTTTCTTTGTATCTGATTATAATAATGCCTTTCCATAATAACAGTGTATATGTTGCTATCTAGATAACGTATTAATATAGTGTATCTCTGTAGGGGTACTTGTGTAGTTTAGACAGATCAATCTACTTATACATTCTGTTTCAATATTCTAAAGCATGATACCTTAAACCACAATATAATATTTAAAGTCTAACCACTAAAGTGATATAAAATGCTCTTTTTCTTATAAAAGATGATCCAGATCGAGGTGTGGGTTGCATATTATACAGTCAGAATGGATATTTTGTAAGTATGGCAAATGCTTCATGCAATTCCTTTAATGTTCACTCTCTCCAGTGCATTAGCTAATAAGTAGACTAGTACTGGTACTTCCAGCTTTTGCCACTGTTACCTGCCTGGTCATTGCTCCATTAATGTATCTACCTTACAACTAGATAATGCCTTCAGTATTTAGCCCTTAGTAAAATGTATAAGGTATAATACCCCATAGGAGCACAGGGCTTTTTGGCTGCACTCTCAACCACTTCTGTAACACAACGATAATGCATACCCTATCATTGGGCCTTGGAGACGAGATTTTAATCTAATCTTAGTTACACTAGACTTCATTTTACATCAAGGTAACTGAATCAGAATCTGGCCTTGTACCTTTCTCACCTCTTTGAAAACTTAAAAATACTTATTAAAACACCTAAAGTTTTTAGAACATCACTTACAGTTCATTTAAAGAAACACACCTTCTTTTTGTGTAATTGCAGCTAACAATTCCTGGCACCTCCCTCCTCTGATATTCTGGATTTCACTTCCAGCCTCCTTTCCCTCAGAAGGCTAGCTCCTAATCACTTAACTATAAGCACAGTAACAATAATGATAAAATTTTACATTGAAATCCAGACAAGTGATTCACCATGGCCCAGCAAAGAAGCTGGCCATAACTATATTATTAAGGTAAGGAGGGAAAGATATTATGATGGTGGAGGAATTTTGAGGTCACTGGATACAGGAAAAAAGTATGCGTAGTAGCTAGTGGTTTTGAATGGGATAGTGAGGGTGAGAAGGTTATCTGCTGGTGCAGTTGAGATATTTTAGTCTGGTAAATTGGAAAAATTGCCTCAAAACTTTGGGAAGCAGTACATTAAAATATACAAAATAGTGTATATTACATTCATGATAGGGCTCTCAGACTGATGTATATATGTAAGAAATAATTGGTCTTGATAGTAGGCAGTGACTGAGTATGTGAGTAGAAAAATCCCTGAAAAGTAAAAGTAATGTAACTATTGTATATTACAAACTTTTCTCAAACATGGACATTGTGTGTGTGTCTAAAAAAGGGAAATGTCATGTATTGTATTTATCTTTATTTAAACTACAGTGATATGTGTCTTATTTTTCTTAGTCATTCTTGTTATCTTACAGCTCTGTTAGGTTCTACTAATTTTTTTTCTTAGTTTGGGGCAGGTTATAATGGATACCCTATTGGTGCAATATTTGCAAACCTGCCTTGTGCAGGTAGAAACATCAAAAAAGAGTCAGGAACAGCAAAAGGACCAGTCCTTATCCATGCTGAAGCAAATGCTCTACTTTTCAGGTTATTATTATTATTATTATTTTATTTATTTGTTTAGAAGTAATTCTGTGGTTTTACATAAATTCCTTATCAATGCAGTTGTAATATCCATGTGATTAATTGTGGAGCCATGATATAAATTGCATTCAGCATGCACCTTTGACCACCTCACCTGGTGTCTGCCCAGTAATTTATCTCCCGCTAGGACTACTAATATTCTACACCTCTGAGCACAGTAATATGCTATCAAAATTTTAACAAAGGCTTTTTCACAAAATTTTCACCATAAAACCTCACTGTTCCACTCTTCAGGAATAGTTACCCAACATGCCTACCTCCTCCCCACAACATGAAGCTCCAAGCACCTTTTGAAAGATTTACCTAACAGCATCAGCTGATCCTTAGGACAGCAACAATAGTGGGAGGTGGGTTGCCTTGAGGATGCTGGTGGCAATGGTAGTGGCTGGTGAGTTATTTACATCTGTATGTGTGGGGAGCTGATGAGTGCAGCACTGCTACTATCTACTTTGTTGATAGCAGAGATTGGCCATTTTGGGATGAAAATGCTCTGCTTCCATTGCCTAGCAACAAGCAAATGGCACTGTTCCTTGTGCAGGTACTTAACTTTGGTACTGGAGAAGAAGGAGAGAAGATGCTTTGGCTGGCATTGCCACTGCCTTAGCAATAGGCAAGCAGCTGTGTTTGGAGCAGATTAAGACTAGCTGAGGTTCAGATACACTAGAATTACAGAACTTTCCTGCCCTTCAAAACAGACACTTCTTTGAGTAGTTTCCCTATAGGTGTTCCACTTCAGGTGTGCATGTGCCACTCCTGCCCTTGATAGGAGATTTTCCATTAGCAGTGTCCGTTCAGCCCATGTGTACGCTCTATACAACCTCATGCCATGCTTCAAAGGTATATCGCAGGTGAACCACCCTCAGTTCCTTCTCTACCACCTTGGCCTGAGAAGGAGCTCTAGCGTGTCTGCCTCATGTGTGTCTCAGTGTGTTTTGTAGTTGTTATTTAGTTACTTTAGTGTTTCAAACGCTTCCTCTCTCATCAGGAGGCTATCAAGATCAGCGACAGCCACTGTACGGGTATCTGTTGCTTAGGAGATTCTAACACCATAGACATAGAATCGTAGGACTGGAAGGGACCTCAAGAGGTCATCTAGTCCCGTCCCCTGCACTCATTGCAGGGCTAAGTATTATCTAGACCATCCCTGACACCCATTTGTCTAACCTGCTTTTAAAAATCTCCCATGATGGAGATTCCACAACCTTCCTAGGCAATTTATTCCAGTCCTTAACCACCCTGATAGTTAGGAAGTTTTTCCTCATGTCCAACCTAAACTGCTCTTGCTGCAATTTAAGCCCATTTCTTCTTGTCCTATCCTCAGAGGTTAAGGAGAACAATTTTTCTCCCTCCTCCTTGTAACAGCCTTTTTAATGTACTTGTAAACTGTTATCCTGTCCCCTCTCAGTCTTCTTTTCTCCAGACTAAACAAACCCAATTTTTTCAATCTTCCTTTGTAGGTCATGTTTTCTAGACTTTTAATCATTTTTGTTGCTCTTCTCTGGACTTTCCCCAATTTGTCCACATCTTTTCTGAAATTTGGCGCCCAGAACTGACATCTCCCAAAAGTGTAACTTTTGCCTGGTTCTAAAATCTAGAGCTCGGAAGAATCAGGAGATCAAACTGAAGCTGCTGCTGATGGAGCACTCCCTGTGACCTGCTTCCAAGTCAGGTCAGGAGACTCCCTCCCCATACATTTATCTCCAGACAGATCCAGTGCTCCTTCGACTTCGGCTAAGGTCTTGTCTAAGAAGGGGAGGAGCTCAGAGGACTCAAGGAAGGGTCTGAACAAGAGGCACTCAGTCTCTCACCACAAGGAGCAGCTCTCAAGAAGTCCCAATCTCCTGCTAGGTTTACAGTGTCGGAGGCTTCAGCCTCTCGACTCGGTCCCATGGAGGCTAAAGATTTCTTCCGGTATCAGATTGTGGAGCACTTTGGAGAAACGTGGCACTGGCAGGACCCCTCTACAATCTGCCTCCAGATTGGGACCATCTATTTCAGACTTACCAATGGTGCCTTTCCACATTGGTACTGACAACATCGAAGCACATACCTCAGCCCTGACACCTGTGGGCTCCAAACCAATGATACTGCCCTAGTCAACTGTGTGCTAACCCACTCAGTACTACAGGAATGCCATTACTCCAGGGACTTGCAAGTGTTTGATGAATTGGAGTCCCCATTGCTTATGGATACCAAACAACTCTTGGTACTGAGCCCCCAATCTCTGCATTACTGGTGCTTCCTGGTACTGCAGGATTCTGCACCCTTTTCTACTGCCCCCCCCCTTTGGAGGACAATGAGGAGGATGAACGAGACGTTCAATCATTCGCCTTCTTATCAGTGTGGGGTTCCACTTCACATCACTAAAGGAACCCATGCTTTGACATTAGAGATGGTGGGCTCAGTCTTGGGTATCACCCGCTCTCTGGTATTGGCCTCCGCAATGGCCATACTGGGATCCTTGGGCAGCATATTAGCTGCAATTTGCCAGATCTCCAGCTCCACTGCACCAGGAAACTAGGGTCACATAGTCTTCGGCATCAAATCCCCAGCGTAAGGAGACCTTTGAGGAACAGGAAGTTAGGGCAGACTGAGAGGTTCCTTAAGCCTCTATTTTGTATGCATCTCCGGATGAGGCAGTAATGCCTGCACACCATCGATAGCCGATGATTTTTGTCAGTTCCAAGACCTTGTGACGGGGGTGGCAGACACCCTCCAGACATCTCTTGAGGAGGCTAAAGACTCACATTACAAGCTCCTGGACATTTTGCAGTCGGCAACACCCACTTGGGTTGTGCTACCCATCAATGAAGCTCTCCTGCATCCAGCAAAGACTGTGTAGCAAACTTCCGCCACCAAATCATCAACTTGTAAGTGGGTGGATAAGAAATATTATCTTCCCCCCAGGGACTCAGAATTTTTTTTTTCCTATCCCAACCCTCTTTCCTGATGGTGGATGCTGTAAGTGAGCAGAGTAGACAGCATTATTCCAGATCTACTCCTCATGACAAGGGCCATAAAAGGTTAAACCTTTTTGGACAGAAGGCGTAATGATCCGCAACCCTCCAATTTTGGATCACAAGTTATCAGGCGATCATAGCCAAGTATGACTACACGAATTACAAGTTCACATCCTTTATTGAACATCTTCCACAGGAGCATAGAGAACATTTCCAGGCCATCATTAAGGAGTGTCAGTTATTACTCAGAACCTCTCTCCAACCATCCTTGGATGCCACAGACACTGCTGCTAGATCCATCTCCACAGGAGTTGTCATGCACAGGGCATCATGGCACCTGTTGTCAGGATTCCTGAAAGAGGCTCAGAATATGGTTGAAGATCTCCCATTTGATGGTCAGAAACTTTTCTCAGGAACTACAAATGAGTCTTTGCACATGCTGAAGGACTCCAGGCCCATGTTGAGATCTCTGGGTGTATACACCCCTCCAAACAAGAGGAGATTTAGCAGGTCTCAAACTGCCCAGAGATTGTGCCCTGCTCAGTTCTCTGGTTTTCACATAACTACCAAACCCACAAGAAAAAGACAGATTTCAGCGGAAAGGAGCTTCCCACCCTCCTTCAGCTGGTACACCATCATCATCGAAACAGCAATTTTGACAGTTCAGTTGAGGGCTCAACTCCTCCCGCACCTCTAGTTTGCAAGCTGCAACCTTTTGCCCACCTTCCCACTTCTGAAGACCGCCTTTCCCATTTCCAATAGGCTTGGCAGCATATTATAACAAACAAGTGAGTCAGAGAGGTTATAACATCGGGCTACGCCATCCACTATAGGTCTCGCCCAACTCCCCTTCCCCCTCCCTCTTCAGGGACTCCTCCCACAAGAGTATACTGAGTGAAGAAGTACACTCCTTCTTTTGATTAGGAACAATAGAACTGGTATCATCCCCTCACAGGAGGAAAGAGTTTTACTCAAAGTATTTTCTTGTGCCAAAGAAGGATGGAGGGTGGAGAGGGACCTTAGATCTAAGACAACTGAACAAATTTGTAAAAGTCTCCAGATGGTGACTCTGGCAGCTACAATCCCTTCTCTAGAAACAGGAGATTGGTTTTCAGCCCTCAACCTACAGGAGGCTTTCATATAGCAATACATCCCGCACACAGGACATATCTGCACTGCACCATGGGCCAGGATCCTTTTCAATACAGAGTACTTCCCTTTGGCCTCTTTTTGGCTCCAAAGGTGTTCTCAAAGATTTTAGTGGTAGTGACTGCTTACCTTCAGCGAGAAGCAACTTTAGTCTTCTTGTATCTTGACAACTGGCTACTCAAGGGCTGATCTTACAAAGCAATACTAACTTCCACCCAAACAGCTCTCTTCCCTCTTCCAGGAGTTGGGTCTCCAGCTATACCTAAAAAAGTCCAAGTTAGTCTCTGCACAGAGAATACAATTCATAGGGGCATATTTGGATTCGTTGGCAGCCAGGGCCTCCTTTTCCACAGACAGATTCATAACCTTGTCGAATCCGGTTGGGAAAATTCAAGGTAGTCCCCATACTACCATAAGGAACTGTTAGCAGCTCCTGGGTCATATGGCAGCTTGCACCTTCACGATCAAACATGCAAGATTATGGGCATGTCTATACTAGAAACGTAAGTTGACTTACAACCACCAAAGTAATTACTGCAGTGGTGCATGTCCACACTACCCTCCTTGGGTTGGTGGTGTGTGTCCTCACCAGGAGCACTTCCACTGACCTAAGAGGGGCAGTGTGGGGAGATGAGAGCCAAGTGTCTGAGCTCAACTGGCAGCTCTCTGCCAGGAGCTCCCGGTGGGTTGCCTCCTCTTGCCTCCCCGTTCCCCGCTGGGAGTGAGGGAAGCCGCCCGGAGCTTCTCACCTCTCCGTTCTCCACTGGGAGGGGGCGGGAAGCTTCCCTGGGGTTCTCACCTCCACATTCCTTGTCGGGAGCAAGGGAGAAAGTACCTGGAGCTTCTTGCCCCCAGGGAGCAGGGTCCAGCTGCCCCAGCTTCTCCCCCTGTCCGCTCCCAGCTTCTCCAGCTGCCTGGGCTTCTTGGCCTGACTCCCAGCTGGGAGCGGGGTCTAGCTGCCCAGCTCTCCAGGAGAGCAGAGGGCAGCTGGGCTCTAGCTACCCAGCTTTCTTGTCAGTTTCACAGCTCCTGCTGTCTACACAGACACTGTGTCGCCCTAATTACACCGACATAACCACATCTCTTTTGGAAATGGAGTTATTATGTTGGTGTAGTAGGGCACTTAGAGCTTGTCTACACTACCCGCCGGATCGGTAGGCAGTGACCGATCCAGCGGGGGTTGATTTATCGCATCTAGTATAGATGCGATAAATCGACCGCTGAGCGCTCTCCCATAGACTTCGGTACTCCACCAGAACGAGAAGCACAAGTGGAGTCGATGGGAGAACGTGAGCTGTTGACTTACTGGAGTGAAGACACCACAGTAAGTAGATCTAAGTATGTCAACTTCAGCTACGCTATTCACATAGCTGAAGTTGCGTATCTCAGATCGATCCCGCGCGGTAGTGTAGACAAGCTCTTACATTGGCGGGAGCAAAGCTGCAGTGTGTACACTGACATAATTAGATTGACATAAGCTGCCTTACATCAACCTAACTGTGTAGTGTAGACCAGGCCTATGTCTTTGCTGCTATCAAGGACTGGTTCAGGAGGACCTATTACTCAGCCAGTAACAGCTTGGACAAACTGGTTACAGTTCTTCTGAAGGTGAAGAACTCCCTGAATTAGTGGAAAGATCAACGCAGTGTCTGCATGGGCATCCCAGCTGCAACAATAACTGTGCGAATGGATGCCTCACTGTTAGGGTGGGGAGCACACCTCAACATACTCACAACTCAGGGCACATGGTCACCTCAGGAAACTGGTCTCCATATCAACTTGTTGGAACTCAGTGCAGTCAGAAATGCCTGCCTTCAATGCCTACCCCTCATCAAGAGCAAATCAAAGGGTATCATGATGGACTATGTAGCTTATATGTTCTATATCAACAAATAGAGCTGAAAGATTCCCCCTCCCCGTGCGCTGAAGCTATAAAGTTATGGAACTGGTGTATAACCCGTCAGATTCAGATCTCAGCTGTTTACCTTCCTGGAATCCAGAATGTCACAGTAATTATGCTCAACAGATGCTTCTCCCAGGACTACAAATGGGAGTAGGACTCTCAGATCGTTCATGGGATATTCCAGAGGTGGGGACTTCCACAGGTAGACCTATTGGCCACATACAGCAACAGGAAGTTCCCCTCTCTTTGGGAGATGCCTTTCTCCTTCCTTGGACAAACGGCCTGTTCTACACATTCCCTCCAACACCGCTAATTCTAAAAGTGAGGAGGAAGATAAGGCAGGACAAAGCCAGAGTTATCCTCGTAGTACTGACCTGCCTCAGGCAAGTTTGGTATCCTTATCTGCTTCACCTGTGTGTCCAACCGCCGTTCAAGCTTTCAACTGTCCCTCATCTCCTCTCCCAGGAAGCGGGTTATGTGCTTCACCCCAGCCTAGGGGTCCTCTGTCTCCAATCATGGCTCCTAGATGGCTCATGGGATTAGAATCCACCTGCTCAATAGGAGTACAACAAGTATTATTAAACAGTAGAAGGGAGTCAACTTGAATTATTTATCTTCAGAAATGGAAGAGCTTCAATCAT